CTTGTATCTCGCTCTGAAAAGGTTAGATTCTCGTTGAACCTCGTGTTCTGAGAACTGTAAAACGGCCTTGTGTGGGATACAAAGCGCACAATTATTTTTCAGACGCAATTAAAGTAGGCCGTCTGAGCTTTCACTGAATTAATTTTGTGCATTTATTTTTCTTGGATTAATATCTCTGTGATACCTCATTGTAAGATGGCTACCTTCATTCAACAACTGGTCACTGAGTTCGGAAGATTGTCTGATCTCGTTAAAAGTAACGAGACTCTCACCCCTGCTGATGAATTTGCTTACCGCATCCTAAAAAAGATGATGAATTTCATCTCCACGGAGGCGTCCACTCTAAACCCAAAGGATTTTCCTCCACTTACGGAGGAAGCTTCAAAAACTGAGGCAATGGATTCCACGGATTTCATCCAAACAAGATCTAAGAGACCACGCAGTCCCATTAATGAAAACCTGGAAGCTACGGAAAATCTGCATCACAACAAATTCTTCGCATTAGAGGATGATGTGGAAGATCCCCACTGCCCCATGACAACCGACATCTCTGCTAAGCAGGGTAAGAAGAAAAGTAATAAGTCAAAACCTAAAGCACCAAAATTACCAGAAAGTGCTTCTAAGGTTCTTTCCATCGGAGCCATGAAATCACCCAAATCGCAGGAACCCATCTCTGGAACGCCTAAACCGCAGGAAACTATCCGCACACCAAACCTCCCAGGCAGCAGCCAATGAAACTGCTACTCCAACCAATAGCTTACTTCCGACCAATGAGGAAACACGGGAAGAAGTGCTAAGTGGTTCTGCAGACACGGAAGGTTTCCAATACCCCAGGAGAAATACAAAAATTCCTCCGATTATGGTCCAGGACACAAACATCACATGGAAAAAGCTGAATGATCTCCTTGAAAAGGAAAAGTTGGACTTTAAAGCGAAAATGAAAAGCGACTATGATTTCGAAATCAAAGTATTCAGTAGCGATATGCATAGGCAGATCACTGCCTTACTGGATAAAAACGAAATCAAGTACTACACGCATATGCTGCCGGACGAAAAAATGCTAAAGGTAGTTATCCGTAGCATTCCCTCATATACTCCTCCAACAGATGTCGGAGAAGCCCTTGTGAACCTAGGGTTCACAATAAATAAGGTGGTTCAGCTTACGAGAAAGCGCGGCACGGAAATCCAAAAGATGCCCCTATACCTCGTCATCCTGCCTAAAAGTGACAAAGCCAGGACGATTCATGAACTTGAATACTTGATGAGACTTCGTGTCTCAGTCGAGACTTACAGAGGCAGACGAGGCCCCACTCAATGTTACCGCTGCCAAAATTTTCACCATGCCCAAGCACAGTGTCACCTCCCTCCGCGGTGTGTAAAGTGCGGACAGGGGCACGAATCTAAAACGTGCACCAAACCATCAGATGAACCAGCCACCTGCGCAAATTGTGGTTTAAGTCACACTGCGTCCTTTCGTGGATGTAGTTATTTCCCCAAACCCCGGCAATATTCACAAGGAAAAATGTTGTATTCGGACAGAGTTGTCATGAATAGTGCTCAGCCACCTCAAAACAGGCAAGCACCTGAAATTGCCGAGCTCTCAGCAAAACTAGAAGAGGCCAAATCATTGATAGCAACCCTCACGGCCGCTATCTCTATCTTAAAGGACACTACTACACAGCTCAATGCTGCTGCAGTGCAAAATTCAGTCATGCCTCCCCAGAAAAATCATGACTAATCCCCATCAAAGTTTTGCTCCGATTACGATTACTCTGTGGAATGCACAGAACATTACACAAAAAATACCAGAATTTCAGGACTTTTTAATTAGACATGAAGTGGACATCTGCCTGGTCACTGAAACGCACGCAAACTCAAAGCACAACATCAATATCGCAAATTATAGCACCTATCGATGCGATAGAATCAGACACCGTGGCGGAGGTGTCGCCATCTACGTGAAAAGGACTCTTTGCTCTGGCTTATTATCTGCGGATAATACAAAAGCATTCGAAACTGTCAGTGTTAATGTGGTTTTACCCAAAATCGGACATACAAAAATTTGTGCACTCTACAACCCACCTGACAACAAATTATCTGCGAGTGATTTACACTATTACCTGCAAGACTCAGCTCCCACAATCATTGGAGGTGACTTCAATTCAAAGCATGTGGACTGGGGCTGCAATCACAGCAACGCAAACGGACACACCATCAGAGACTACGTAGAAAATTATCCCATCTTCCTATACACACCCGAAGAAACTACTTACCGCCCAAACACTCCACGCAAAAGACCTGATATCCTTGATTTTTTCCTCACTAATTTTAACATACCCCTTGCAATGGAAGTTACTCATGAGCTGACCTCAGATCATGTCCCTGTAATGGCAAGACTGGGTTACAACAAGCCGAAAGATGCAAAGAAAGAGAAATTGTAGACTGGAAATTACTTCACAACCTTGCAATTACATCCCCCATAAACCTGGGTCCTCTAAAAACCACAACTGATATCGAGAAAGCTGCAAAAATTTTTACGAACTCTCTTCAGGATTTCCTTGCATTAGCAACTACAGAAAAGATGCATTCCTCTCATTACGGCGCCCTACCCATGCACATCAGAGAATTAATCAAGCAACGGAACAGAACCCGAAAACTCTACAATCACACCTGGGATCCTACCTTAAAACCAATTATCAATAGACTCACCAGAAAAATTAAATCTAGTATCCAGCAGCATCGAAACGAATCCTGGAATTTAAAAATTGAAAACTTAAATCTTGAAGACGGTTCCTTCTGGAAATACATTCGTAAACGGAAAAACCCTACAATTAGCACCCCTCCAATCAGAACGCAATCTAACATTGCGTACACCAATGAAGAAAAAGCAGCAGCTTTTGCCGATCACCTGACCCAGCAATTCACGCCCAACGATTTCCCTGCAGACCAAACAAGCATTGCCGCCATTACTGACCACGTCAAAAACTGGCTCAGCGCGCCATGGGAACAAACTGGGATCAAACTCACTACCCCAGGTGAAGTGAAAAATATTATCAAGAACTCAAATAATAGAAAAGCTCCTGGACCAGACCAAATCTCAAATAAACTTCTTAAGCAGCTCCCGCACGGTGTCATCTGCAAATTAACATCTATCTACAACGCCTGTCTCACGAACTTTTACTTTCCAAATGTATGGAAACACGCCTCGATCTTTCTAATTCCAAAACCCAAGAAACCACCTGACAAACTTACCAGCTACCGACCTATTAGTCTCCTGTCTACGCTGGGAAAAATTTTCGAGCGAATCATTTACAATAGACTGCAAAATCACCTTGACTTCATCCCAAAAGAACAGCATGGATTCAGGAAAGGACTCTCGACCACCCATCAGCTGGTTCTTATTTCTGAATTCATAGGAGCAGCACTCAGAAATAAACAAAGTATTGCTTTCCTCATGCTAGACGTGGCCAAAGCTTTTGACCGCGTCTGGCATGAAGGTCTCATCTATAAGCTTATACAACTGAATATCCCGAGAGAACTCGTCCTCATCCTGAAGTCATTCCTCGAAAATCGAACTTTTTCAGTTAGACAGGGTGATCATCTTACTAATCCATATCCTATCCTAGGAGGAGTCGCCCAGGGTAGTATCCTAGGACCCATTATCTATATCATTTACGTCTACGACTTTCCTACCTTCTCAGAAGACTGCAACTTTCAACTTGCCTGTTATGCGGATGACACCGCACTCATACAAAAATCCAGGAAACCTAACAACGCTCTCGTCCAGCTCCAAAAGAAAATGACCCAGGTAGAGGAATGGTGCAAGAAGTGGAGAGTCAACATTAATGCTGACAAATCTCAAATTCTGCTCATCCGGCGCTACAAGCACCTGGATAACATTTCCACTACTGTCACCCTATTTGGCACACCAATCCCGATTGTAACTCGGGCCAAATATCTCGGAATTACTTTCAACAGAACTTTCACATGGTCTACACACATTAACATCACCAGAGGGAAAATCTTCGGCATCATGTGCAAACTGTTTCACCTCCTGGCTGAATCTTCAGGTCTGAGCCTCAATAGGAAGAGAAGAATATACACTGCAATCATAAGACCCATCATAACATATGCATCCCCAGTCTGGGCAAACGCCAAACAAAACGATCTCAAAAAGCTGCAGATTATCCAGAACAAGTTTCTCCGAATCATCACAGGAGCCCCATACTACATCAGAAATAAAAACCTGCATCGAAATTTAAAAATTGAATATGTGACAACGTACATTAATAAGCTTAACGAAAACTTCTACAAAAAAGCAAACCATAATAGCACAGCAGACTTCTCCAACAGTTTAAATTACGAAATCATAGAGGACGATTACTTCAATAGACCCTTCACCGCTCATACTATTAACATGTTAAATTTCCACACAAATTAAGCAGCATTCACTAGGGTCAGTTTCCGAGAGGGTGACCACCTCACGTGATTGACCTGACCACTGCAAAGATCAAGGATCAAGGAAGTGCAATTTACGGAGTTCATAGGCAATTACGCCTTTACCTCCACATCTTCAAAGGAAATTAAATCGTCCGAAAGAGGGTATTGTCAAATAAGGTAAAAATTTTGATAAGCCGAATGACTTGGAGTAAGTGCCTTCGCACTGAGTCAAAAAAAAAGGCAAAAAACTCAGAAGGTCTTAATTTTGCGCCGAAAAAGGGCCAGAAAAATTTAGATAGGGGCAGCCAGAAAAATTTTGACTAGAAAAATAAAAGGTGAAGTTTCCTTGAACCTTGATAATCATTTTCTTTGCAGACCACTGCAAAGAGTCTCGCTTTAAACAACCAGCGCTGTCTTCTGATTCGCCAGCCCATGATCCTGGCTCTCCGCCCACTTACTGTGAATTTCTTTTTAATCGACATCACCGCCACCAGATGGCGACACAGTGGACTGATGCTACTTCATTCTTTTCCTCTCACTCACAGCTCCCTCCATGGGATTTATTCAGGTTTTTCTCATCACCATGCCCATTGTGGATTTACAACAGGTTTACAGGGAAGTACTGCAAAAGCAGTAGACCCCTTGTATAAATACTTCTGTATCAAAGTATGTTGCGACTAAGGAGCACTCTACTCTACTCTACGGGCACTTTTTACTTCCATCTGCTATTTTTGCAAGAATGCTCTTCCATTGTATGTATGACCGTAACTGCAATTTATGAGCCTTATAAATTTTTCAGCGCTAATGACTTCGACTTTGTACGACAGTATGTCAGCATTAACCTTAATCTTTACTGACATTTATCGTTTTATCTTTAATGCCGAAAAATATTTATATAATTGCTTCGGATTTCGCTACAACATGCCATGTAGAAGTCTTTATCAGATCGTCACTGAGTGTGGCAGATTTACCCAACCGCCAAACCAAAACTTTTGCTTTGTGCCATATATCTGATAACTGAATCCATATGGAATTTGTTATCGGAGGGGCAGCAGCATGTTGTGCAGGTGTATTTACTAATCCTCTCGAGGTTGTTAAAACGCGTTTGCAGCTACAAGGAGAATTAAAAAGTCGTGGTGTATATACAAAACATTATAAGAATGCATTCCATGCTTTTTATGTGGTAGCCAAAAGTGATGGAATTCTTGCATTACAAAAAGGATTAGTACCAGCTTTATGGTACCAGTTGTTTATGAATGGTGTGCGACTTGGATCATTTGATTTTATGCAGAAAAGTGGTTTAATAGTAAATGCTAAAAATGAAGTTAGTTTTCCCAGGAGTGTTGCTGCTGGTGCTGCTGCAGGTTGTATTGGAGCATTAGTGGGAAGTCCATTTTATATGGTTTGTTGTTATAATTGTTTTTTTCTTCATGTCTTATTAATTATATTTGCATTATTTAAAATGGATCATTTTTGTATGTGGAATATAATAATTGCCAGTTTAGATATATATTTTATAAATTTTGCATAATTATATAATTCTCAGGCATTTTATTTTCATGAATTAATTTTTAACTTTTTCAAATTATTCAGACATTGTTGAAGATATTTATAAAAAAATTCTACTTCCTTGATAACTTCTTTTGTTGAATTCTTTTTAGAGTTAAATATAGCATTTACCATCATGTCTAAATTTTATGAGTTAATGATGACATGAAAAATGTGTTTTATTTTTTTAATATATTGTATAATCCTTATTTAGTAATTGAAATTTGTATTTTAAATTGTGATGAATAAAGGAACTTTTCTTTTGATATATTGGTACATTTTGTGTTACTGGGGCATTTAGCACTAAACATAAAAGTTGAGCAAAAACCTGGATGGTGGTATCCTTAATAATGTATAGAAGTTAATGAAAACAACAAATATTTTATATATAAAGAATATATGATACTCTTCTGTTATCGGGACTGGATTCAGAAATTTTATGTATGTACATGTGTGTGTGTGTATACACACATTGATACTTATGTACATGTGTGAATACCTGAACATCTGAACACTTATATCTGTACGTACATGTATACATACATACATTTCTGAATCCAGTTTCGGTAACAGAAGAGTACCAAATTCAATATATGTATGATATTTAATATGTGCAAAGTAAAATTAATGCATCTCTGTGATGGTTTTTAAAGCGAAAGCAGATCGCTGTGTACGATGAGAGAAAAAAGCTTATTTGTACATGTATAAAAATTTTGTTCTTCCCATGTACATAGCATTTTATGCCGACTTGTTTCCTTGAAAAAGATTGGAGAATTATGTAAGCTCAGCATCGCACACAGCTTTGGAATCAAATACATTAAATATCATATGCATTATTATTGATTAAATATCATATGCATTATCATTGTACAGCTATTTATTATGTGATATAAATAGGCTAGCGCATTTGGAGAATGGTGTCTCGTTAACAGAAAAGTACCATAATGTTAAAAATATTTGCTGATTTAAGATGAATATTAATAGTTTGGCAATCTTTTTTTCAAAACCTGTTCACGGTATTCGAACCTTGGACTGAACTAGCAGTGTTCAGTGATTTTAACGCTGGGCCACTGAAGGGCTATTAACAAAGAACTGGGTAAAACTATTGCTTCTTTCCACTCGATAAGTAGTTTTACCCAGTTCTTTGTTAATAGCCCTTCAGTGGCCCAGCGTTAAAATCACTGAACACTGCTAGTTCAGTCCAAGGTTCGAATACCGTGAACAGGCTGGCTGCATGGGTGATTTCATGGTTTTTCCCATGTGTAATGTGTATACGAGTAAGTTTTCCTTAGAACGTCCTCCACAAAGGCATGCCTCCCCTTAGGCAGATAGCCTTCGAGACTTTGTTTTAATCACACAAGACTGAGATAAGATCTTTGTTTAAGCATGATTTCTCCAAAAACTTAAATATTTTTTATTAAATGTAGAAATTAATGCAGAAAACATAAGAGTCCTTTAATAACAGTTAATAAAAAAAGGCTTTAATTTTCGGTCTGTTTAAAATTTAAAACTTATTCCTGATCAGTTCCTCATCTGAAAAATTCTTCAGTTATATCCTTTATGAAAGAAATTGAAAAAGCATATTTACACTATCTTATTAAATTGTACTATTATCATGGTGCAATTGGGGAATTTTGTAAAGAAGAAAAAGGATGATGATGTTAGAATTGAAAGAACATTTATTACATAGATATGTATTTTATATTTTATTTATTTCTGGGGGCATTTTAGGACGTTAAGAATAGATTCCAAGCAATTGTTATTTTCCTGATTTTGCAATGAAATGCTGTATTACTGTAGAAATTTTATTTCAGTTTCTTTATTATTGGCAGGTCTCATATGTGCATATTTTAAAATTGGGTTTGAAATTAAAAAAAAAAAAAAAAAAAAATGCAATTCGACTATAAAAACCCATTAGAACTTGAAGTACAATAAAGTGAAACACCTACAGAAATGGTAATGTTGCTTGTTAAAACTTAAAAGTTTTTATATGTATGATGAGCAGAGTTTGGCACATTCCGAAAATTTAATTTTTTCTGCTAAGGTGATTGCATTTGTATCTAAATATGCCAGTTTCATTAAAAACTTTTTAATATTTAAAATACATGTATACATAGCTGTCAGTTCTGCCTGTTTCTCATCAAATCTCCTGGCTTCCCAGTAAGCAACGCCAATTTTCCCCTTTTTAACTTTTTAGCCCTTATCAAGGAAAACGTTTCTCAATAAATGAAACTTAAATTGAGCAAAGACCCATCCCCAAAATCCTAGTTATTAAACTTTTAATCCTTTAAATACAGTCAAAAGTCGTTAATCCAGACTCGTCGGGACTTCGGCGATTCCAGATTATAGATCATCAGTTTAAATCTGATAAGTTGGCATGCAGAAATTATAAAATTAAAAGTATGAAACCATAATTTATGAAATAAAGAACAGTTATGATCTAAAGGGTATCAAAATTTACAAAAAAAAAAGCTTAATATTTATTTGTTTACATTATTAAACATTTCTTTTAATGTAAGTTGTTTAATTTGCTTCGTTTTTTATGTGATAATACATTCTCTTTAATTCTATAAACAGACATAATTTCTTGTTCAGTTACAAAGTTCCGCTGTTCAAGTCCTATAATTGCTGTGTCTACTGACTAATTTGTCAATCGAAATTTTTTCGTTTTTAATAATCTCTGTTACTTTCTTCGCTATCGGAAGCGAATTATAATGACAAGGAATTTGATTTAAATCATATCAAAGACGGAGTACATCGAGATGAAATACTACATTTAGTAAGGAATTATAAGCCAAATAAAATAACATCTGCCCTGAAGATAAGGATAGTGCTGACAGATCAACTTCCAATTCATTGCGCACGCCGGCGTTAAAGATAAACAAAGTTTAGATAAACAAATGTTAAAGTTTAGATAAACAAACGTTAAAGTTTAGATAAACAAAGGATATGCCTTTATGCATTTTTTGCAGCAATTCCACTTTTTGTTTAATGAACTTCAAAACATACTTTCGCTTTGTAGATCCTTTACATATTAATAAATATATATCAGAAATTCTATTTGACATAATCGAAAGTTCAAGCTTACTTTAATAAAATTGCTCTAACAGTCTGCAAAAAATAATAAGCCAGATCCAATTCGATTAATGAACAACACAATCTGCAACATTAACTGAAATAGATAATTTTAGCTTAGCTTATACCGTCCGTTATACATTAAACGCGCACTCGTAAACGTATTTTGTGCACGCGCACAAGCATATTCGCAGCTGTAAAGGTCTTACGTGCATGCGTCAATGCAGAAAGTTTGTAGCTTTGAGGTCCGGATTATGGGTGTCTGAATTAACGACTTTTGACTGTACTAGTTTATTAAAATTTATTAGATCTGCATTGTCTTAATTTAGTGTAGACATCTGTAGAAATTTTTATGAGAATTCAGTCAGTGTTTAATCAATTAATATTTGAATTAATTTTGTACTACTTCAGGTATATATGATACATTAGTAAGTTTATCCCATACAAGTATGTGTGTAAATTACTTTTATTTTCATCATATGTAATAATACTTTGATAAATAAAAGCATTCCTTCCTTACTGAGGTTTTTTTCAGTATAAAAGTGTAAGAAAATTATGAAATGGAATTAGCCAAAGGGCATAATATTCAGATTATTTAATTAATATATTTTAAATCAAATTCATGTCAGAAATAATTTACAACCTGTACTGTGCATTATGAAAGGTATTTATATTAAATCAGAGTTCTGGGATAGCATCATCATACAACACTAAAATCAGCCAGTTAAACTCTCAGTTATGTGCGAGAAACTCCTGTTTTTTAATTTGTCAAGAATGGCAGGAGTGTGTGGGGGGGAAGAAATGTTGTTTAAAATATGATTTATTTCTGCTTTTCATGCCTTCTTCTTTTTACGGTCCTCGTTTTGTAGATGGCGCCAAGGTTGTTGATAAATAACCAATGCAAACCATCTTCAAATGGCTAGCAGTCTTAATGATGATCTTTCGTAGTTTGCTTGTGCTAAGAAGAAATTCTTATAAACCATGTGATATCTTCTTTTCTTTTTTTTATATAATTTTTAACAATAGCTCCTGGCTGGATTTACGTATAAGCTACAGCTTTAAGGCTCCCACTTTTTTTTTGGACCCCTCCTAAAAATTAAAATATAGTATAAATAGTATTAAAATATATTATAACAGACTTATAAAGGGCACCATATCTTAAATAGCTTAGGGCTTGATCAAGTGTAAATCTGGCTTTGAAAAGCTCTAAGTATGAAATATGTTTAGAAAGAGATCGAACTGTTTTTAAATAGCACGCTAACAAGTAGAGGAAGCATGCTGTGGCTACTGAATACATGCAGCAGGTTTAAACAATGAACTGAACCACAGTCGTTGAAGTGAGCACATACACAAACTCTTTGTTAGATTAGTGCTAAAGTGATAATGAAAGAGCTTGAAGAAACACGTGTGTATGAAATTTTCGTACAAACTTTGCAAAACTCTCACAGAGATTTCAGTTACTTAACCAAGCATATGGTGAGGACTGTATGAGTTGCATGCAATACTACGAGTAGTTAAAGCATTTTCCAACATAGCAGAATGTCGGTCAGTAATGATCCCAAGCTTGGCTGACCTTCCACATCAACAGATGATGACCATGCTCAGAGAGTTTGTGGAAATCAATATTTAATTGTTCAAGAAGTTACTGACAAATTCAGCATTAGCATAGGATCATGCAATTAAATTTTGAGTGACAAGAGATGCGTCGTGTCAGTGAAAAAATTCAGGCTAACATTTGCCGACTGATGATCAGAAATAGACCCATTTTTAAATTGGCCAATGACAATGAAACTTTTTAAAGAACATCATAACAGTTGACGTAGGTTTATGCTTGTGATATTGAGACAAAGGTGCAATCATCACTGAGATATTTTAGCCTGATATGAGCGCTCAGATAGCACTTAAGCAACAAGCTACAAATTTGAACTCGTAACTGTGGTAAGGTGTGCTCTGTGTAAAGACACTGTAATGCATGTAGTATCTGCTCATCTCCATGGTTTTTGTCTGTATTTTCAAATAACCATCTTCTTTTAAATGCCTACAATAACTTTTATTTCACCAAGTTCTGTGTTAATCTTATACAGTACAAAGTCCATAATCTGGACTCGTCGGGACTTCAATTCCAGATTAAGGGTTTTTCCAGATTATAGATCATCAATTTAAATCTAGTAAGATGGCATGCAGAAATTATACAATTAAAAATATGAAACCGTAATTTATGAAATAAAGAGCAATTATGATCTAAAGGGTATAAAAATTTACAAAAAAAGGCTTAATATTTATTTGTTTACTTTATTAAACATTTCTTTCAATTTAAGTTGCTTCGTTTTTGTGCTAAATGCGCATGTGTAAATATTAAATGTGCATGCGTAAACGCATTAGACGGATGCGTAAAGCATACAAAAAAAAGTTTGTGACTTTGAGGTCCGGATTATAGATCATTCCGGATAATGGATGTCCGTATTACAGACTTTGTACTGTACATGTTTCCTTGCTTTGTGTCTTACCTGTTGCAGTGTTTACTTTATTATTTGCACTTGTTGCATTATTGAAATTATTATTATTATTGCTGCTACTTGATAAAGTTATACAGCTGCTTTTAAGCTTTTGGCAATGAAGAAAGCAAAAGAAATTGAAAATCGGGCTGTGGCTAGAGAATTTCAGGTTTGGCTAGAGTTTAGTGGTGGTGGAAGTATGTACCAGAGTTAGAGAAAATGTCTAAGAATAAAAGATTTTGTCATATTGACATCTGTTTTGGAAGACAAATTAGAGAAATGGACTAGAGAACAAAGAAAAAAGGGATTGTCAGTTTCTACAGTTAAAATTCGCCTCCAAGCAAAAGTAATTGCTCTGCAAATGGGCATTAAAAACTTTGCTGATGGTTTTCAGTGGTTCAGATTCATGAAACAAATTGCATTATCCATCAGGATCAAAACAATACTTGGACAGATGCATTCCATGGAGTAACTTGGGGAGAAAAAAAAAAAAAAAGTCCTTTTTTTTGGAGCACAAATGTAAGAAAATTGAAGAACGAAATTTGGAACAGGGCAAATAATATGGATGAACTGCCCATTACTTTTGGTGATTTTCCGAGTTGAACCATTTATTCAACAGGTGTAAAAACTATGTGTTAACAATGAGAAATGAAAAGACCTTTGGGTTGTGCTGCTAATTGGAGGGAAATTAACCCATTTGAACATTTAAAAAAAAAAAAAATTTCCAAAAGAAAACTTCCTTTAAGAGGTCATTAGTTGTGGCAACGAAAAGGATGGGTGGGCAAAGAAAAAATGTTTTGGTTGAGAAATTTATTAAAAACAGAAAGATGCTTTTACCCAATTTCGAGTACTCATCATTCTGGATTCAGTGCTGTCTAGTGGATGCTGTAAAACCTGAAGTAAAAAACTTAGCACTGATGTCTCGGTGAAACCAGAAGGGCTTACAAAAATTATACAGCCACCAGATCTCACCATCAGTAGAGTTTTCAAGCATGAACTATAAAAGTAGCGGGAGGAATGGAGGCGATGCAGATTCCATTTCATCACAAATTCCAGATGAATGAGAAAAGCTTCATATGAGTGGGTTGCTTTATGGGTCAATAAAGCATGGCAGTCAGTCCGAGCTGATATGATCCTATCATCTTTAGTTAAATCGGAAATCATGAAAAAGAAAATGAAGATAGCAACCTTGAAAGAAATTATTTGAAACAGATTGATGAAAGTGCTCTTGATGCTCATTTTTTCAGATTATTTAATACTTATATTGATGAATCATATTTTGAAGGTTTTGTATGAATAAAGGTAGTTTATTTTAATTGTAAAATTATATTTTATTATTCAATTTGCATATTCTTTTTGATAGTATGGTAATTTATGGGGATAGATAAAGTTTACTGAACGTGTAAAAAAATATCTATTAGAAATCAGCACAGGTCATCACAGGTTTGGGCAAGTTCAAGGTAACATGTTTGTTAATTTTTTATTTATTCATGTATTACTGCTTGTAGTTGTGTTGAAAATGTTATGAAATGTTATCAATGATGAGTACATTATTATGGAAGATTTTCTCTAAATACTTGTATATTAAATGCCATGTTCTGGGATGCTTTGTCACAATATGTATGGCAGTGCGGCTCATTCGGTGAACTTTATAATTTTTTTGCGAGTTATCATGTGTGTGGCATATACAGCAAGGCAGCTTCTCTGCCCAAAATTAGGGTAAAACTTGCATATTAACAAAAGCATTTGATGATTTGATTGTCAAAGGTGGCAAATGAAGAAAAATTTATGTTTTGACAACTAGTTTAGTGATTTCAGATTTGTAAAAGCACAGCGATTTATTATTTACTATCTGTTGGGAAGAGCAACTAACACCAATTAAGTGATGGGGAAGTAACCAGATCTGTAGCTACAGTTTTCAGCACCCAGGGACAAGTGAAGATCTCGTACCCTATTGTTTGTCAAGAATGGAAAACATTTCATTCTAAAAATTTGCAACATCAGTTTGGCGCCCCCTGGATGCTGCACCCAGGGACAGATGTTCCTCCTTGCTCCTCTCTAGGTATGCCCTGGAAGCAATTTACCCTTTTTGAAAATATAACTTCGAATGGAACAGTTTTATGAGAACGTTTTTTCTCTGTATCTTATTTGATAACCAAATAAACAAATAGGCAGGCCTAAAAAATTATGGACATGAACAAAAATCTTTCCCAGTATGAACGAAAATCTGTTCATATTGGGAAAAAACAAAACCAACAGGTTTTTCATTATCACTGGATATTTGGCAGATTATACTGAGAAATCAGTAAATTCTTTCTCACCAAGGCTCCAAATAGAGAGTCAATCCCACTAATGACAAGAATCATTGGCCACATATCAGAAGGATGAATATAATTTTATGTAGATTAGATTATTATATTTTGTTATTATTTATATATTATTAGAGCATATATTATGGAGAAACTGAAAATGCAGTTTAGAAGCATTTACCGTGAACCGTAAATATTTTGTTGATCCGAGAGCAGCTGTTATAAAGTGTTGAAAGATTAGTGCTCTGCAAAGTAGTAGAATAAAAGTCGGTGAGATATAGTTCACCTTCAGCATGAATCTTTCTTTGCGTAGTTCATGCGGCAGAAGTCCTTGGGAGAAAAAATGCATCGGTGCCATAATAAAAATATTCATGGAAACCTAAAAGTTATGTGAGAAGTAAACATGAAGTTGGTGATAATTGTGGTGCTAACTTGACCTTTTTTGATATATGGGGGCCCTAAGGAAGTACTATAATTTCTATTGCAGTACACTTTTTTTGTGTATATTTTTCTCAATTATTTTTATACATTTATATTTCTGTTGATGTAGAAGGCCAATAATAAACTTTTCTTCATTAGATTAAAACACAGCTTCAAGCTCAGTCATCATCTGTAGTTGCTGTTGGATTTCAGCATAAACATCAAGGAATGATGGAAGCTTTTAGATGTGTTATTATTCAGCATGGTCCTTTAGCATTGTGGAGGGGAGCCAGTGCTGCTATGGCTAGAGTAACTTGTGGATCAGCTGCTCAATTAGCAACATTTTCAAAATCTAAATGTTGGATTGAAAGTTTGCAGGTAAGCATATATATGTTTTTTGGGTAATCTTTGGTGGGGGAGGGGGTATGAGTTTCATGAAATATTTTTTCAGCAGCAATTATAAAGGCAGTTAGTTGTTTAGTAGTGTTTCTCAATGTTGAAAAATTAAATTTGTCACCAACATTTACCAGCTTCAACTAAAACCTTTCAAACCAAAGATTATCTGTTTGGATACTTTCTGATTATCCACTCTTTTTTCAATAACGTGTAGAATTGCTTTTTGTTTTGTTTTTTGGTATTGCATGCAACAATAGTTAACCAATGCATGCACATGTCATATATTCGTTTGAGTACACGTGAATTTAGGGAATTTATATTTAATCTGCATTTTGCTGAAAAATATTCACCAGGTGTAAATATATAAATATCAGCCATAGTTTTTTTATATAAAATTTTTTAAAGCTTTTTTGTACTTTCAGATTGATTATTATCCCTGAAAAATCATGAACTTGCTGCTGATTTTAGAGAGAATTTGCAAACTAATTGGTGGCAAATTTTTCACAAAGCAAATGCATGAAAGGCAACAGCATTTTCAAAAAGGCAGCACATTAAGAATTCCGTGCAAGAGCAATCGATGATTAAAATTGAAAGAAGATGAAATAACGCTAATAAAATACTTACCTTTTTTAAGAAATCCTCCTTTTTTGCATAAAAAAATAACCAAAGAATTGTACACATTTGGCATCCATACTAATTTGGCATTAAGCACTGGCTAAATCAGATGTGCTACATGTGTACCAATGTTTCCACATAAATATTTTTGGTGACATAACTATTTTGGCAATGCAGTGCTTTTTCAGATCATTTTAGTAGAGATTCAGATAATCAGAAAATACTGCTTTTTTATTATTTATTAACAGAATAATATCTGTGTCCTGCAGAATTAAGCAAAGATAAGTTTTTCATTAATTCACAAAGTTGCCAATATGTTGGAGACCTTTATGAAGGTGTAAATATTCTGAAAGTTCACACCTATTTGGTGCTTCATTATTAAAGTAGACGCCACATAAATTTCTGGTGACATTTATAAAAGTTGTTTTGAAGATCTGTAATTTGATCACCAATTATACAATTATGTGTTCTGTTCAATAATGTGGATAGTTTTTGAAAATGTAGGCTACCACGTATACTCACTTTCTGATCAGTAATGTGGGTAAATAAACACATATATTAACAATTTTAAAATATACAAGTCTTACAATAATTTAATACAGTAGAAGTCCAGAAATCCGCAAAGCTTGGGACCAGAGGTTGTGTGGATTTTAGGATTTTGCGGATTTCAGGACAGAAAAAATAAATCATAATATTCAGACTATAAGTGCAAAATAAGTAAGGCATATTAGATACGTTTAATTAAATTATTATATACATTATTGCAATAACTTATTATATGCATTAAATTATTATTACATATATAAATTGATTATATTATTCATTGTATTATATATACACAGCATTGAGGTTTGCCGATTTCGCCTCATGCAAAAATTTTCGGTTTTGGATTCCGGTATTAGAATCACTGTTACTGTAAAATCTCAACAGCTTTTCTTTATTTTTCCGTATATCATACACAATCGTATCGCAATTCCATACGATTCTGCTATAAACCGAGGAGTAGCACTTGTCTCCATCTTTTGCAGAATTTGCACTTTTTGCATTACCGTCAATGTAACGTGTTTACGTGTTTCAATGTTGCAAGCAGTAAAATCATGAGTGCGTTTCTTATTTGTAAATGTATTAAAAAGGGCTGAAATTTAAAATATTCTTAATTTATCCACAAAATATACGAATAAAAAAAAAGGTAGCACTAAATAATCTCATGAAATAACAAAGCTCAGAAAATACAACAATGTGAATCGTGAACTTGAAAGAAGAGTTGAGTGAATCGTCTGCTTTTTTACCTCGATGCAGATTAGAGGGGGAAAAACTTTTATCATGATGTCAATAATTTGGTATTCCTGTTATGACTCATCGTTATTCATTAATTATGACGTCATTATTTGGTGAGTATATTTTCTTCGATATTTTGTACTCAATGTTGCAGTTTCCGGAACCTATAAACTGAATGTTTATATTTTGAGACCCAACGCGGATTTCAGGTCGACGGATTTTTGCTATTTGACAGTATATTTTATGTGCTTAACTATATGTTATATACTGTCAAAAGTCTTTAATCTGGACTTCCATTATCCGGAATTATCTATAATCCGGACCTCAAAGCTACAAACTTTCTGCTCATGCGTCAACGCATAATACCTTTACGCATGCGCATATGCGTTTACGCATGCACATAATACATTTACACATGGGCGTTCAATGTATAACGGATGGTATAAGCTAAGCTAAAATTATCTAATTATCTATTTTAGTTAATGTTACAGATTGCGTTGTTCCTTAATCTTTTAACTGGATCCGGCTTATTATTTTTTGCAGACTGTTAGAGCAATTTTATAAAAGTAAGCTTGAACTTTCGATTATGTCAAAAAGAATTTCCAATTCTGGAGTTACCAAAGGATCTACAAAGAAAAAGCATGTTTCGATGTCCATCAAACAAAAAGTGGAAATTGCTGCAAAAAATGAATAAAGGCATATCCTTTGTTTCTCTAACCATTCCGAAATCTGTTTATCAATTTCATGCTGCTCTGTGGGGAGGGAGGACGTCACGGCACACAATGAACTGGAAATTGATCTGTCAGCACTAGCTTTATCTTCAAGGCAGATGTTTTTATTTTATTAGGCTTATAATTCCTTACTAAATGTACTAGTATTTCATCTTGATGTACTCCGTCTTTGATATGATTTAAATCAAATTCCCCGTCATTATAAATATCACGAATACACATCAAATAGTTTTCTGGTTGCAGCTTTCTAATTTCGACTATGCGTAATGTATGCTTTACGCATGCGCGCATTGAAAGAAAAGTTTAATAAAGTAAACAAATAAATATTAAGCTTTTTTTTTTTTTTTTCTTTTTGTATATTTTGGTATCCTTTAGATCATAATTGCTCTTTATTTCATAAATTACGGTTTCATATTTATAATTTCTGCATGCCATCTTACCAGATTTAAACTGATGATCTATAATCCGGAATCGCCGAAGACCCGACGAGTCAGGATTAAAAACTTTTGACTGTAATAGCAGCAGCACAAAATCTTTAAAAGGTCCACCAGGTAACAGATTTTTCACCAAGTAACACATCAGCTGCTATTGAGTATTAAAAAAAATAATGGTTGCTTTTTCTTTTTTACTGGAAGAGACATAGATTGGGAATAGAATATTTCACAGTGAATCAGTCATGTTATTTCATTGGTCTCTACTCTAGGTGACACATCCAATCTTTTGTACGCTTGTATAGTGCAAAATCATATGAGAAATGCCAAAGATGGATTGTCTGCCAATAGTGACCATTTAATGGAATTCAAGTAAATTACATGCATCCTAGATGATTTCTACTATGCTACATCTATTTTTAGTTTATGCCTGCTGTTTAATTATACATAATTATTTTTTAAGCGCAGTGCTTATTAATTATTTCTAGGTTTTAATTTTAATTTTGAATACTTTAGTTATTTAAAAAGTAATAAATACAAGTATCTTTTTTCTTCTTTTTGTATTTGTTTTATTTCCCGTTTCTCCTTAAAAAAAAAAAAAAAAAAAATCTGAAAACATTCAGACTTTAATGTCACACAAGAAGATTTGTTAAAGTGTTTTATGATCTTGTTGAGCTCTTATTTCATCTGCGTGCTCTTGAACTCATTCATGCTTACATAACTTTTTATCTTTTTAACTTTGTTCTTACACATCCCTTTCTTTGCACTTATGCCACATCAACAGCAAAATCACAAAATTTTTAAAAACAGCATACCTTTAAAATTCTTGATACAGTTCTAAATGTTGCTATACAATTTTTAGCCCAAAAGGGCTATTATTCTTGAACCTCACTTTTGTGTCAAATTACTTTTGTTGTCCCTTATCAAATAACTAACAGCTGATACAGCCAACCACCTAAAATAGTTACTATAAAAAAGAAATGTATATATAATGCTTTTAATAAATTCACGTAGTGAAATTTCATGGGTTTGACAGGTTAATTAATAAAAGAAATAAAGAACTGCATTTAGTGCTTTTAAGTTTGTTAACCAATAACAGGCAGATAAAATTTTTAAAAAAATTAATTATCTTACGCTTGACCAAATGACAACATTGGCAAGTGGAAAAGTTCAAAATATTTTTTATTAGATTCCTTAAAATTCCAGATAAACTGTTATATGTTATCATAAACTTTCTAATATTCGCTATATTATTTCTTCAAAAATAATACATTGCAATAACATTTAGTGGCAGTATCCTTTTATTTGCATTGTTGTATATTTTTTAATTAACTAATATTATTTCTTTACCAATAACACTGGTGCTAAAAAAAGTGATGAATTTCAACGACTCCAATAGATATGGACGAAATTCTAAAGGACTTGCTGTCTAAAGCTAAATTTGATCAAGTTAACTTCATTAATGTGATGAACCTTATAAAAAATTCCATTCTATTTGAGGAAGTCTAATGAAAGCAATATAACTATCTCAAGGATCATCCCGAAGTCAGTGTTACTTTACATTCATGATGGTTGAGGCCCATACCAAGGAAATAAATGTAAAGATCAACCAGTTGTGAATATTTTAGGGCACATAACAAATCTGTTGTTGATTATATGAAATTTAGTAATTTTAATGTTAGTGAAATTTCCATAAATGTTGATAATGGTAATCCCAGTGTAGTTTCTGATATCAGTAGTAAACTTACAGTTTCTATTTTTGATACCTTGTTTTCTGATGTTAATAACAGCAAAAATATAGGAAAATTGGCTAAACCTTCCAGTAGTAACTCTAATGATATATTAAGGAAAAGTAAATCTGAAAAATGAGGTCAGATAATCAAAAATATGTATATATAATGTATAAAAAAATATGTATATATAATGT